ATCTCACATCACAATGGGTACCCGCGCTCACTAGGGATGTACAGACTCCGGGAGGGGCCACTTACGGCCCAAGTGCAATATCAAGCCATCTTGTGGCATCAAATCTAGGCCCTCGGCCTCATATCAGTCAAGCCACTCGTGGCATATATATCTCAGGCCCTCGGCCTCAAATCAGTATTAGTGTTTCCTCACAACTAGGCCCTCGGCCTTACTTAGTCAAAAATACTCACAAGCCCCTCGGGCATTAGTAAAACAATATTTCTCAGCCCAAAACGTCATCTAAAATATCAATTAAGTCTCAAAACAGAGTAAAAATGGCTGAGTAGTAAAACAGTGGAAAATAACATGACTGAGTTCAATTAATAAATCAAAACAGTGAGGAAATAGTAATAAAAATCCCTGAAGGGTTCAAATAGTTGGCAATCAGCCCAAATATGGCAATCAGCCCAAATATGGCAATCAGCCCAAATCATGATGATAACATATAAGTTTCAGTCCAATACGTGGTAAAATCATCAGTCGGGACGGACCAAGTTTTAATCCCCAATAACACATGACCCCACACTCTTCATCAAGCGTGTGCCTCACTTCAATATAGCACTACGATGTGCAATCCGGGGTTTTAAACCCTCATAGCATCATTTACAATCATTACTCACCTCGAACTGGCTAAATTTCTAGCTCGCGACGCTTTGCCCCTCGAATTGGCCTCCATGCGCGTCGAATCTATCCAAAATCAGAACGAATACGTCATAATATGCTAAGGGAACAAAGCCCAAGTGAAAACAGTCAACAAAGGGCGTGATTCCCGAAATTACCAAAACCCGAGCCCCCGGTCCCACGTCTCGAAATTTGACAAAATTCACAAAACTAGAATCCTAATATTCTCACGAGTCTAACCATATGAAAATTATCCAATTCCAATACCATTTGGTCTTTCAAATCATCATATTACATTTTTGAAAGATTTCATAATTTTCTTCTCAAATTCCATCCCAAATCACGAATTAAATGATAAATTCAATGATAGATTCATGTACTCTAGCCAAATCTGAGTTAGAATCACTTACCCCGATGAATTTCTTGAAAAGCTTTCGAAAAATCGCCAAAATCCGAGCTTCCTAGGTCAAAATATCAAATAAAACCCAAAACATCGTATTTATAGAGTACCCCACAGATTTCCACCTCCACGGACCGCACAAAATCGATCGTGGTCCGCACAAAATGACCGCGACCGCATAGCTTTCCACTGCAGTAATAGGCTTTCGTATTTTGGTCATAACTTTCGCTACAGATGTCCAAATTGTGACATCTTTAACTATCTGGAAACTAGACACGAAGGACTATAATTTTCGTTTTTGAATATCTCAAAATTCCTTGTATATCAAAAGATATGAGCTTCCGAAATAGGACCAGTGAAAAGTTCCCCACCGCGGCCGCACAACATTTTGTGCGAGCCGCACAACACCTACCGCGGCTGCACTTCTTTTTGTGCGGTCCGCACAGCACATACCGCAGCCGCACTTCTTTTTGTGCGGACCGCACGGGTGGGTTCCGAGGCCTGCAACCCTTCTGGACCTGCTACAGTTATGATTTTCGACCTAACACATCCCGGAACCTACTCGGAACTTCAAACCAATTGTACCAACACATTCCATGACATCGTTCAAACTTGTTCAAAACTTCGGAACGCTCACAACAACATCAAATCACCAATTTAACATAAGATTCAAGCCTAAGAACTCCAAGAACTCTTAAATTATGCATTCGATCAAAAAGTCTATCAAATCTCGTCCGAATGACCTAAACTTTTGCACACACATCCCAAATGATACAACGAAACTACTGCAACTCTTGAAATTCCATTCCGGCCCCTATATCAAAATCTCACCTATCAATTGGAAAGCGGTGAAATCTCAATTTTGCCAATCCAAGTCTAAACCTTCCATGGACTTCCAAAATGCATTCCGATCACGCTCCTAAGTCCCAAATCACCTAACGGAGCTAACCAAATTATAAAAATTCTCATCCGAGATCATATACAAACAAGTCAAATATTGGTCAAACCTTTCAAATTTTAAGCTTTCAACTGAGACTGTTCTTCCATATTAAATTCAGATTAACCTGAAACCCAACACCAACGATTTACATAAGTCATATTGCATCACACGGGGCAAGTCATGCCCGAGAACTGGCGAGCGAAATGCAAAAGCTCAAAACGACTAGTCGGGTCGTTACACCTTTTTTGCCATATTTAAAGGTTCTATATTTGCTTAGATTTGAATGCTAGGGCTTCTCTTCTTCTCCTATTGCTTTGATTGAAAAGATTCTGTCTTCGTGTCGTCTTTGGAGCCTCCGATTTGGACGAAGACAAGCCGAGAGCATCAAGTATAATTTGAACGAGTCAATTTATAGAAAAGCATGCATACCTTTCTTGGCCTTTTGGCTAAGATCAACCGTAGTATTTGTTCTTATCAGTTTAATATGAGTACTCACACGATATTAACTCAATTTTTTTAGGGAGAGAGTCTACCACAATAGTGGGCTCTCAAGTATTGTCTTGGCGTTGCACTATTGCCTTGGCCTGGCACACCTTGCCAATTCTAGTTCAGTATTGTCTTTAAATTAAAAGCAAGCTAGAGAAACAGTGAGAAAAAAACTTTAACATAATCTTATGATTCTTATAAAGAACTTTATCTTATTCTGTACACTAAAGAGTTCAGGAACCAAAGACTGCAGCCATAACTAACAGTTAAAGTCCTAAAAAAACTTGATCATATATCGTACAACACCGGATTAAGGAACCAAAGAATTTAACTACCTTAACACTAAAAGCTCTCTAAAAAAAACTTGAAAGGGTCAACAAAATCAGTGAATAAATTATTCACCTTTCTTATGAATCCACAACCTAAGTACTGCTAGTAACAGAAACTCTTGGGCTTGGAAGTCCCATGAATGCGAGCCTAGGCGAGACACGAATTTTTGGGCTCGGTCGTGGTGAAGGGATTGGATAACAATTCTTGGGCTGAGACAATGTAACCCTCGGAGAAAGATTAACTTTTTCAAGGGCCTGAGATTGAAGATCAATGGGATAGTCTCTAACACAGCCAATGCGGGGACCAACTCCACTTGTCCATTTGCAAGATAAACGCTTGGTCAAGTCAACAACTGGTGCCTCTGTCTGGTCTTCACCGGTAGGCCTAAAATTTTCTTGATCACCAGTTGTTTTCGACACATCACTGACCGGGCCATCGTCCTTAGCTACATCTGCATCACAAGTTTGTGATAAAGTTTTCTCCATGTCTTTGTTAGATGAAGGTCTATCATCATCTATTGCACATCTCTGCAGATTAAAACATTAGTGAATTGCCCGTTAGCATCATTACTACTTGCTAAATCGGCACTAAACTGAACATGAATATATGAGTTGAAAAGCAAAAGCACTGTAGTTACCTTAACGTTAGCCAAATCAACATGGTGTTCCTCGAGGAAACTGATGAATTCCTTAAAATTATCTTCCGTAGGAAGATAGTGACCACTGTATGGCCATAATGCCTAGAGAAAATGGGACTAAAATCAGTGAAATGATACAAAAGAAAATTATATGCATATTTTTGTGTGATTTGAGAATATTACCTCAAGAATCCCGTCCTGAGCAACCAATCTACCAGCTGCTGTAGTAGCACCACCGGATAGAAAACTAGAGTGTTGGAAAACACCCTTCTTTTTCATTCCCACATAAAGAGTTCGCGAAGTACTAAGAACGAAAATCCACTTCGATCCTTCTCTTGTATTCAACAGCATCCCACTTTTCTTATACACCAACTTGCCATCCTCCACAATTACTTCATAGGCTTCTCTTTCTTTCTGCAACAATAAGGCATGAAAAAGTTGAAAATATTATCTTCCATCTAACATATACAATGTAAGTGCAACAATAATAAAAGAGGAAATAGATTAGATTGGACTTACAGGTCCTAAATACTTGATGCATTGACGTTGCAAATCAACTCTTTGGCAACGCTCAAGATTTACTTCTTTGCCATCACCCACATCCAACCTACAATAAAGAAGTAGGCTTGAAATGTTAGCGGAAACTTGACATTTGAATGAAGCTAAACTACTTGTGCTTTTGCGAGGCGATCTTACCAATAGAAGAAAGGTTGTGTGCTTTTGCTGTTGGACCATACATCATAGTAAAAGTGTAAGTTGTGTCCATAACGATGACGTGGGTCAATCTGTAGTTAAAAAAACAGCAAATTAAAGCGCCATCTTCGTAAGCAATCAGTATAGAGTTAATTTCTTGAGTAAAAAGAACCATTCCAAAATTTTGACCATACCAGCCAATAATGCGTTAAACTTCTAAAACCTAGACTTAATAGACATGAATAAGTTCTCTACTGTATGTTTGATACTTCATATAATCGATATATATGCATAAAAAATCAGATAGCAGCAAGGCCTTACAGCTTCCAGCCAATGTTGTAGAGCTAGTTTTTGAGCCTTTTCATCCTTCAACAAACCTTTGCCTACCTGTAGATCATAAACATGATTTTGCTCAATTCTTGAGTAAAACTTTTTGCTGTCAAAATTCATTAATGCGACCTATATTTGGTTCTCGTTAACATACCTTAGCAGCTCGTGTTCTGGCACGTGACCATCGTGACACCGCAGCTTCATGTTTATTGACATCAAAAAATGATATAGAGCTTTGTTTTAAAGCTGCAGAATCCAAGGCCTTCCACCTAAAATACATGAAGGAGAAAATTAGAAACCAAGACTACAATTCTACAAACGTAACCGATTTTACACAACAGAGAGGCGGCAAAAGAAACATACCAGAGCTCTTCAACAACTACAGCACAATCTGCAAGGTTCCTTCTTGTCCTATAACTCTTGTACACAGTCTGGAGCTTAGTCGCAGCAGCGTCAAGCTCAGTAACAGGTCGCGGAGAAGAGAACACAAAGGGTTCTGGAATTGAGAGTCTTGGTACTGAATCCATTTTTCCATTGTCAATAACCAAACTATTAAGTGGAGTACAAGTTTTAAGCTTTTGTTTCTCGTATTTTGGACTTTCTTCTGAATAATCAGATTTTCTAACATTCTTAGCATCTTTTTCTTTGAAACTGAGTGTTCTCAAAGATAATTCTCCATTTTTCCTCTCAATGCTTACTGATCTGACAATAGATCTTCCCATTGTGTCTGGAAAAATAAGATAACTATGCCTTATAATTTCATTCCATGCTGATAACAGTATTGAAAGAGAGAGTCCCATTCACTGGACAAGCTGCAATTTGACCTCAGATGCCTTATGGTAGTGATAATGAATCCTGCTAAAAGAAACCATTGATTTTGTTACAAATTAGGAAATCCCATCTAATTCAAAGCCATTAAAATTTTTCTCTAAACCCATTCCTCCACAACCCCACAAAGAAAAGAGGAAAACTTTATTATAGTAGTATTATATTTTTCAGAAATAGCAAAATAACAAAAGAATTCAAGAAAATTCTGTAACTAGAGAAGAGACAGTGGGAAAATCAACATGTCTTTTCTCCAAATAGAAAAAGGGCATTTCAGCAACATTATTAACATAAAAAAACAACTCAAAATACAAATTGTCAATGGATAAAAAGCCAGAGAGAGCAAACTAACACCTCTAGTAATTTACAAAATTGATGAAATACGTAAAGTCTGCAATTCATTTCATGAAATAGTTTTAAGCAACTCTATCATCTGCTTAATTTAAACAAAACAAAACAGCTCAAGAAATTAGCACTGAACCTACAAACTCTACCCAAAGCAGTAAAAAACAACCCATAATTGTAATAATTTCTCACCTTGAAAAACTAAAGCAGACTCTTGAATTCTTTCCTTCTTTTTTGCTCTCAAATTAAAGAAGGAGTTTTAGTTTGAAGGGATAAGTATAAGCAAGAAAATAATGTGTAGGAGTCTGACTTGTTAGTAGTCACATATTTATACTAGGAGTAGTTTGAATATTCAAAGTTTAGTAGTAGAAAAGTAGGTGGTTTGCTATAACTAGGGTCCTACTGCAGAAAATTTAAGTCTTGCATGGACTTTCATTGAAGGTAAGAGGAAATGATCAAGAAGTTGGTAACTGAGACTCGTGAAATTAATTTTAGATTTTCTCTGGTGTTGAAATCTAGGAAAAATGTGCATAAACAAACAAGAGTTATTAAAGAAAAAGGGAGTTTGTAATAATTTCAGTTGTGGGGCTTTGCGTCATTGCCAATTGCCATCATGTACTTTTGTTAGATGGACGCAATTATTAATAGGCAAACATTAGCGCCGTTTAAAATCGAACCCTAACCGTTAATCGAACCAAATCAATGACTTATTGACTTATTAGTATCGGATTACTGGGGTAATAGCTGGTAAACATATTAAAATTTTATAATTAACGGCTTAGCTGTTTGGGAACAGATTACTCAATTTTTTTATTGGATAAAGCGTTAACCCCCTAAGAATTTTTATATTTACATATACGTATCTTTAATTATTCCCATTAATTATATGTGGATCAACCTTCTCTAAAGACTTCAAAAGGATTTATATATAAACACACCACCTAGATGTACATGCTTTGACTGTATATAAGTTTTCAATCAGTTTGACCAGTTTTTAGTTTTTTCTTTTCTTGACATGAAACAGTTAATTATGCAACCAAAAAAATACTTATACAAGTGCATTAGTGCAGTACAAAACTACAAAGTATTAACAGATTCTATCATGCTGCAATGGATGTTAACAAGTTTGGTAAACTGAAGCGCGGTACATACTAATGAGGGAGTCGAGTCACTTTATCACGTTTGGCCGTTTGGTAATCATAATACTAGGATTGTTCAAAAAAAATCTACTTGATATAGCCAATAAACCGCTCGATAACCGTCCTATAATTATTAATTTAATACCAATCCGTCTTTTGTCGTATTGGATGGCTAGCAAATTACTCCATTTATATTCCGATAACAGATAAGCCGAACCGTTAAGCGTAATTATCCGTCCGATAAGCACCACTAGAAACATCAGTTTTAGTCTGCAACCAAAACTATTTATATTCGATAACTACAAAAGTATATAATTTGCATATTGTATATGTATATGTATTTCGCTGGAGTATTATTTTAAGAACGACTATTTAGTGTCGATTTACCATTATTATTTATTGAATGGGAGATGCTATAAATCGGAGCCGACTTCATGATTTTCTAAAATCTTTGGTTTTTTATCAAAAAAAATTGCTATATAGTTAAATAGTTGTACTAATTTTTTTGTTACATGAATAATTTGTGAGTATTAGGGTATGTGCCAAATAAGCTTTAGAATATAAATTACCACGTATTAACCGTTGCCGAAAAGAAAATTGACACAACTATTTCACAGTCTTTGGACAAGGTTATTGGGAACTGTTAGTGCTATTTGTTCGAGTGATGCGAAAAATATTTCATAGTCTTTAAATAAAGTTGTTGGGAACTGTTAATGCTATTTGTTCGAATGATGTGAAAAAGAAAAGGTGCCTAAGTCTAAAGATGTCTTGGATATAAGTGGGACAGAGGGTATGGGCAACTTCTCTTGGATATCTAGAAAAATTCTGTGCCTAAGTCTAAAGATGTCTTGGATATAAGTGGGACAGAGGGTATGGGCAGCTTCTCTTGGATATCTAGAAAAATTCTTTCTCATTATTATATAAATAGGTTATGTACAAAGAAATCAACAAGAAAAGATATTGAAGATTCTCATGGTATCACTAAGATAATTTTTTACAATTTTCTCTTGTTCTCCTTTTTCTTTGAATCTCCATCAACACAAAGATGGTTGAATCAGACACTGAAAATATTTTTTCTGATCCAAAAATGGCTGAGACATTGGCTGAAAAAATAGATGCTTGTCATCTTTATTTTCTGAACAACTCAGATTCTCCGGGAATGAATCTCATCAATATAAACTTTGATGGAACTAGTTATGCAAACTGGCGTAGAGGCGTCTTGATATCTTTATCCGCTAAGAACAAGCTTGGATTTATTAATGGAACTTATACCATGCCAACAGATCCACTGATGCAAGATCAATGGAGGAGGTGCAATGACATGGTCATTGCTTGGTTGCTTAACTCTCTCAGCAAGGATATTGCAGAAAGTGTTATTTACTCTCAAACGACTGAAGAGTTGTGGAATGAGTTAGAGCAGCGTTATGGGAAAGCTGATGGGACTAAGTTGTTCTAGTTACAAAGAGAGCTAAACAACATCAACCAAGGAACTAATGATGTGGCAGGGTATTTCACTAAGCTGAAGAGAATTTGGGATCAAATGAAGGCCCTAAATACTTTTATGACTTGCAATTGTGATTGCAAATGTGGTGCAAAGTCACACAACCACAAGATGAATGAGGATCAAAAGTTAATACAATTTCTAATGGGGCTGAATGATGTTTACAGTGGAGTAATTAAGAGGTAATATCTTGATGATGAAATCACTCCCCACAACTGCACAAGCTTACTCAATCATCTTGCATGAGGAAACTCAAAGGGAGATACACTCAGGTACTCATGTCTCTACTGAATCTATCGCTTTTATGTTGACTAGACAGAGATGGAATGGACAAAGGAGAAACATAGAGAACAAAGGAGGAAATCAACTTTCTAACTCTGATTTGAGGAAACATGAGTTGTAACGCAGATATTGCAGAAAGACGGGACATATTAAAGAAAATGCTACAAGTTGGTTGGTTATCCGGAACATTTCAAGTTAAGCAAACAAAGGCAAGGGGCTATGGAAACCATCAAGTTAATGTAGTAAATACCCAAGAAGGAGATAGTGCAGGTACTGGAGCAGATGCAGTACTAACTTCAGTCAACAGTCAAGGCTTTACCAAAGAACAATGTGAAAAATTAATCCAAATGTTCCGGACAGTGCACGGATTTAGTGGATCAACCTCAAAACTTGAACCTGATGTTAGTGCGAATCTTGCTGGTACAAATTTTGTTCTACAGACGTTTACCTCTTTCTTTTCCAACCTTTTTCATAATACTTGGATTATTGACTCAGGTGAAACACAGCACATGACATATGATAAGAACCTACTTCATAACATGAAGAAACTTTCAAATCCCATCTTTGTTAATTTACCTAATTCCTACAAAGTAAAGGTTACAATGGTAGGAAGTTTGTTCTTGAACTTAGATCTTGAGATTCATAATGTGCTTGTTGTCCCTAGATTCAAACACAATTTGTTGTCAGTATATCAACTTTGTAAGCAAGTTAATTGTATTTTGATTTTTACTAAGCATGGGTATTTTATACAGGCCCCTTCAATGAAGAGGCATCAGCTTTTTGGTGAAGCAAAAACAGGTCTTTACATGCTGAAAGATAACACTTCTCAAGACTTTTCAAAGCTCAATGTCCAAGTTTCTTCAGTTGCCAGTCAATTACCTAAGTGCAATGCTACAGAGTCATGTCCTTTTGTGTCCAAGTTTGCTTGTTCTAAATCTTTGAGTCATGTTTGTTCTGAGTCTTTAAGTCCTGTCTGTCATGAAAATTTGAATGAAACAATCAATGAAATTATTCCTAGTTGCAATATTTCTACTATTGAAAAACTTTGGCACAATAGATTGGGACATCTCTCTTATCATACAATGAAGAACATTACATGAATTCCTATCACTTTTAGAGAACTTAAAGATTTTCCTTGTGAAATTTTCCCCATGGCAAGACAATCTAAACTACCTTTTCCAACCAGCACTATTAAATCCAAAAAGTATTTTGACTTGATTCACATTGATACATGGGGACCTTATAATACTCCAACATATAAAGGAGAAAAGTATTTTCTTACTATAGTGGATGATTTTTCTAGAAGTACTTGGACTTATCTCCTTTCCACAAAATTAAATGCCTTTCCTATTTTGAAATCTTTCCTTGCCCTTATTGAAAGACAATTTTCTGCCAAAGCGAAAGTAATAAGATCAGATAATGCTTATGAATTAGGAACAGGGAACATTCCTAAAGATTATTTTTCTTCTCAAAGAATAATTCATCAAACCACTTGTGTTGCAACTCCACAACAGAATGAAGTGGTTGAACACAAACATAGACATTTGCTTGAGACTTGTAGAGCTTTATTATTTCAGTCACATTCTCCAAAGAAATTCTGGGATGACTGCCTTCTTACTGCAACGCATTTAATTAATAGGTTTCCTTCTAAAGTTCTTCAAAACAGGTCTCCTTATCAAGTAGTTTTTGGAAAACAACCAGGTTATTCTTATTTGAAACCTTTTGGATGTTTGAGTTTTATATCTACACTTTCTAGAAATAGGGACAAACAAGATCCTAGGGCATTACTAGTTGTGTTTTTAGGTTATCCATATGGTAAGAAAGGATACAAAGTTCTTAGTCTGCAATCAAGTCAAATATTCATTTCAAGAGATGTGAAATTCATTGAAAATATCTTCCCTTTTTCATATTCAAAACCTATGTCACATTTGTTTCCTGCTTGTTTTCATTCATCTACTGATTTAGTAGATCAACCAATGATAATTCAAGGAAAATATACTTCACATGAACCCTCATCACTCAAAGACACTACATCTCAGTCACATGAATTACAGGCCACTTTGAGTCAATCCCCTGAAGTTTCCTATGATATAATTTTTAGTCCAAATCAATACTCTAGGTCTCCTGAAACTTCCCCTAATTTTGATGAAGTGTTATCTACAGCAGAAGAACCGATTTTACGCAGATCAGATAGAATACATAATGTACCTAAGTATTTATCAGATTATATATGTAACTCTGCTTACTCTGTGATTTCTCCTAACCCCTTTTTTTTCCTATTCACTCCTTTTCTTTCTTTACTTTAACATAACAAAACAAAGATAAAATTAATTCCATATGTCAAATTGTAGAGCCTACTTCTTACCAGCAGGCAATGAAGCACCCAGGTTGGCAGG